TGGATCGAGCGAAATTTGAATTTGGATGCGCTGCGCAGCAGGCTGCGGCCAAATTTGGCATCTGTTCTGTTCTCCTTCGCGGTCGACCCGGTCAACGTTTTTAGCAAAGGTAGTAAAACTTGCGGTGTAAAATTAAATCCGGCGCCGGGGTGCCCGATTTTTACACCGCACATGAAACACCAAATTTTTTTACACTCACTCGAAAAAAAACGATCGAGTGTAAAATTCTAATTTACACCACCCTTTATTGAATTTTACACCAAAGCGACTTTACACCGACAAAGCCGGTGTAAAGGTGGTGGTGTAAAATTCTCCCACCCGATATAATATGTACTACGTCAAATCATACAAAAAATCAAGAAATGTTAATCAAGAAATGTTAATCAAGAAATGTTAATCAAGAAAAACTTTAACAAAATAATAGAGTGAGAAACAGAAAAAGAGCAAATCAAAATAACACTAATCGCAAAACCCACGAATCCGAAAACGCTTTGTTCTGATAATCTTTAATCACTAGATTTCTTATGATGAGATCTACAAAGAGGTGTACCATACAGACTAGCCGAAGAGAGATCAGATTCTCCCTCTCTATCAACACCAACTTCAATAACTTTATCTTTTCCTTTATCCTTGACTTTTTCCTCCTCTTTTAATCCAATTTCTGTATCGTCATTGGCTTGCGTTTCTTCTTCTGAATCTTTGAACCTTTCATTTAAATTTCTTTCGTTTTGACTCTTTTGTAATGATCCTTTCAAACTTAAAATATCATCTCCAACAACCAATCGTCTGTACCAGAAAAGAATCAAAATCAGTCAATCAAGATTAATGAAAATTTAAGGAAAAGAAATTAAACGCACTGTCCGAGAGTAGCTCTAGAATAACGAGATTGTCGACTCAACAATCTGGAACTTTCATCATCGTCAAAACTATTTTCATCATCATCATCATCGTAAACACTCCTATCATCATCATCATCTGTCGTTATAGTACTCTTAGAAGTTCGATTTTCATTTTCTTTAAAAGTTTGACTTTGTTTTCTAGTTTTTTTCATTAATTGATCAAGTGGTGAAAGTTTTCGATTAAGGACTTTTAAATCTTTGGTATCATGACCAAGAAAAGATGAACTATAATCTTCTATTGTAGGTCTACAAAGAAATCCAAAAATTGAAAAAAAAAATCTTAAAATCAGTTCACGATTCAATTATTTTCCAAGATTTGCATGAAATGGGGTTTTTTACCTATCGATTGGAAGTGAAACAGCTCGATGACCAGAACTTCTAAAAAAACTTTTGATTCCACCAATTCCAATTCCAATTCCAATTCCACCTTCGATCCAATTACTTGAAACACATCTATTAACTGTTCTACGATTTTCATTAAAACTTGGAAACTCTTTTGTAGACTTCATCATTTCTCTATTATAATCTATTATAAAAAATGCAATGATAAGTAAGAGAACCAGATTGATCTATTAGGAAAGAACTCAACTGTTTCCTTTAGGAGTAATCATAATATCTAAATCATCGCCACCAGATCTACTCCTAAAAAAACCCAAAGAAACCAAACTTTAGTATCTATACACCATCCAGAAAATGCACAATGCCAAAAGAAACATCAATATTTTTGATCAACTTACCCAACTTGATGATCACGTTTTCCTTCATCACTAGGAGTATTAGTAATCCAACGACCATCTTTGAAAGTAGCTAATCTAGGTCTGACATAAAACAAATCTTCTGAAACATAAGATCCATCTTGAGTCCATTGTCTTTGACTCTGAGTACCTGATCACCAAAAAAACAACCAAATTTTCCACCCAACAAAAGATCAGATTACAAATTATCAATTTGGATAAAATAAAAAGTTAGAAGAAGGAAAAAATTGACTGACTTGTATCAACTACACCTAATTCACTAACCCCAGCTAAATGACTAATAGAACTCTTACGTCTACCAGTAAAGAGGATCTCTTCATCTTCTGTAGTTCTAGAAGCACCACTACTCGAACCAATCCCAGTAGGTAAAACTTCCACAAACTTTTCTTTTTGATGATCAGTAACAGGAGGTAAAGGAAACCTAAGTCGATCTGAAGTTCCTGAAGATCTTTTTTGTTTTTTCAATACAAGAATCTTTCCAGGTGATGAACTAGTAGGTGTAAGACCTGATTGATATGAAATCGATCTGGGTGATGATCCACTTTGAAATGGACTACTCAATAATTGAGGTGGACTTAGTCTTGGTGAGTTTTTCTTGGGTCTGATTCGTCTGGCAAAAGAATCGATTCTAGCATTAGGAGTTCCTGAAGTAGAAGTTTCGTTTGATGGTCTTGTAACTGATGGTGAATGAAGTGGTAACCCATATGGATGAAAATGTTCTAGTGGTGAATCTAATCCGCCTGAAATACTATGACCATCATCAGCTTCATCTTCACTTGGACCATGAGCATGTTCAAGTAAAGGAGGATGATCTAAATCAGGCTTTTGGTGAGACGAAGACCGAGACTTGATGGATTTTGATTGACTAGGTTTGCTAGATTCTTTAGATCTACTTGGTTTAATAGATTGTTTTGACTTTTTGATAACTTTTAAAGCAGAAAGATCAAGTATAGGTAAAGTCTTCTGAGGCGTGTTGTGATAAGATGGAGAATTTTCAATAGGTGTATTGATAGAAGGAGAAAGTGTAGAAGATTTATTAAAAATAAATGGTGCTTCTTCTGTAGGTTGAAGTCTAGGATGAAGATCCTGATCAGGTATATCAATCTCACTATTACTTGTATCAGATTCTGAAATCGTTTTGAATGTATGTGGTACACTCATTAATGAAGATGGAGGTGTTAGAACTGAATCCCACCATTTCTTGACTCGAGTAAACGTATTAGTACTAATCGATGGATCATGATATGGATTATGATATTGATTTTCATCTGGATTTCTATAATGAGTAGGTCCTCTAGGACTATTTTGACGTTCATTTGATTCAATCGAAAAAGATTGTAGCACCGCATTAAATTCATGTCTGAGTGCCACTTGAAACCTCTTCCATGCAGTTAATTTTCTTTCTCGACTTTCATATCCTCTAAGCATCTGTTGAACTGGTTTAGGCGTTGGTTTTTCTTGTGACTTTTCGTCTTGTTCTGGTTTATGTTCATCTGAAATAATCCATTCATTTTGATCACGTAAACGATCCAGTGGATGATGTTGTGTTTGACTACCATGATGATGTTGTGGTAAAAGTGCTGAATTGAATTCATATTGAACTGGTTCTGTTGAATGATGAGGTGATCCATGATCGTATTGTCTTCTACGACGTCCTTGACGGCGTAATAGGAAAATCAAGAGAGCAAGGACGATGAAGACCAACAGAATGAGTAGATTGATGAATCCAGCGATAAGTGCAGTAGCTGGAGTGGATTGACGGTGATCGTTTTCAGCTATAAGTGGATTTGTCGAATTTGGCGTAGGTGGTGAAGGTGCGGTAACAGTGATAGTTGATATAATTACAGGATATATTGATTGTGAGTTTGTTGGTATATTGATATCAGTCATAGTTGATAATTGAGTATTTTGATTAGAATTGATAGGATTCGGATTAGGAACTCCGGTTGGTTTTGGCATTGAATTCACATCGGTGATGATAGTACCACTGATCACAGTGAAAGGACCACTACCATCATAAAAATGCACCACTTGAGTCGGTAATGGTGCATCTGAAGCCAATGTTTGAGTTTGTGTTTGAATTTGATCGATTGAAGTATATGGCCAAGCAAGTGGAATAGGTGCCCCAGAATAAGTGATCGGTAATTGCACTAAGCCGGTGGTGACTTGATCTGAATTTTGATAGGTGAGTGTTACTAGCTTTAACCAATCTGGAAGCGGTTGCCTATTCGTCATGTTTGAGTCTTTCAAAGAAGGGTATATATATAACAAAAGAAGATATCTTGTCTTGAATAAAAAGAATTGAAAGTTATGTTGAGGAATTACGAAGCGAGTTGAGTTGGATTGGATGGATCTCCTTTATACTCAAATCTTTCTACGTTTGTTTTGGTCGTTGAGTCGTTGCCTAGTTCGTTACGTGAATATGAGAATCTTGAGTGAAAGGAGAAGAAACCAGAGTTGGATTGATGATTGAGAAAGTGATCGAATAATTTAACAGTCTCCTTAATCCATTACTCTCATTGAAGTCATTTCTATTTCTACTTTTGAATATTTGTTGTTTCGAATTTGTTTCGAAGGATAAGACTATCTCGGGTATAAGTAGATGGATATGGTGAGTTCAAGATCAGAAAATATCGAAACTTCAAATTCTTGGTAAATAAAGGAGATGGTGTGAAATTCCGGGACTTGATTATCTAATCTTGCTTTGTTTGTTTGTTTGTTTGTTTATTTACTTTTTTTCATCGCGCGCCACCCCCTCTTCCCCAATACAATCTATCAAACACTAAATCGACGCGTTCACTAAAATACAGTAAACAAACTTCATTCAAAATACAGCCATGGTACCACACGTGTCTCTCTCTTGTACGTATAGATTCTCATCATCACCCCTATCCACCATATCATCCACCACCACCACCAACGATAACACAATCCACCACGCACACTTTCTTTACCAATGTCTCCATGACTTCAATAAACACAATCGGGTCCGTGCTTGGCTGATCAGGTCATTTGGCGGATTGTCTGTGTGGTTTGTTTTCATGTGCGGCCGAAGAGCCGGAGAGACTTTGAGAACTAAAAATCTTCTTCCCGCATATCCATTTGTAGCTAAGGAGTAAATTCAAACGAACACCGGTGTAAACGAAGCATGAGAAAAAAGATATGTGAACTCCATAGTCTTTTCCTTCGATCGTTCTCTCCACCCAATCACATTGCGGTCTCATGTGTCGCAAGGTTAGTCAAGTGGTCTTGAATCCACGTTGCACTTTCGTCAAGTTTCTTTCAGTCAAGATTTCGTGAAGTTTGTTTGGCGACCCAGATGACGCTATGTTCTCACTCCTCTCTTGCACTGATCTTTAACAAGTCTCAGTCTCAGTAGTTATCTTGAGTTGAACAAATTCATTCTTCTTCTGATGGCTGGTGTATGTAGTCTAAACTAGTAGCTCAAGAACCCCTCCCACAAAGGTCACCCCTCTATCATATTGACATTGTCTACATGTTCTTACATACCAAACTTCGCGTCTTTGTTGGAAGTACCAAAGCTTCAAGAGATCTGCAACTGATTGAACTGATTGAATTCCAAAGTAAACTTCAAAAAAATGTTGAATACGGTAGGATAAGAGAAAGGGTACATGAATAAAACCCATAAACCTCTCAAATAGATTAGCACTAGCTGATGCCCAATTTTAAAATACGTCCGGGGTGGTATAATTGTGTCTTTGGGTAAGGAGCGATAAAAATGGCTCGCAGGTAATAGAGTACAGTTCCATCGATTGTGATAGTGATCTAAATTCTTGCTTTGAGATCCTCTGTCAAATAACAGAATTTCCATGGCAAACAGTGAGTTTTGGATTCGAGAGGCTTGATCGGATGCTATAGACCACTCTTGAGTATGTACGTGTTTCTTGGTTGGATTCGGAGTGATCAACTTCAAGATCATCACGATTATCTTCGACGACAAGAGCTCGCATTCATGTCCTGGAGAGATCTTGAGAAAGTTAAACGGTGATGATGATGATCTTTATCACGACAAAATCAAAATGACTCGTTTTGTTGATTCTTGGTGTTCGCTGATCAAAAAAAACACTGTTTACGCAATCCCGTCAATAAATGTCGCCAATTCCTCGTGCTCCCGTTGGTGATTGGGAATCCTGAAAAACTCTGATCGTGTGATGTGTTGATTGGCTTACCACGACGACACGATTGGTTCGATAATTCAATTTCGAGTTCTGATGATAAACATCCAGATGATCATAGACCATCACCATGTGGTTCAATGACGTGCTAGCCCGTCTTACCATCGTATTCATTGACTCGACGATAGATCATCGATCAAATCCGATGACGAGATTTCTATGCATTCGTGAGCAGACCGAGTCTCTGCTATGTATAGGGAGTGACAATCTGCAATAAAAAGTGAACACAGATCCAATCCCATTTCTCCCTGTCGAAAAACAAATCAAAGAGGATTTTTGTAGATAACCAGAAAAATCCGATCAAATCTTGATTCATCAATGATGTTATTGGTCAAAATCTTATCCAGAATTCTTGCCCTTGCAGCTACGATGGCAATAGAAACTTCACATCAAGTTGGGAACGTGACTTGTCATCCGGGAGCGATCCAGCCTATCAGAGAGGTTGATTGCGATCAGTAAGTGTTCCACAGACTTATATGCAAACTACAAGTCGACAATCCGGCTCCCTCTTGGTGAAGGTCTTGAGTCTTATCATTTCGGTTGAACAACATACAGCGCCATAAACTCAACAATTCGCAAAGATCTGATCCAAGTGGATAAGACAATCGAGATTTTTCATGGAAGTTGTAAGGTAAGTTATTACGCCTCACATCCACTTTATGTCAAATTGTGCTCAACCATTCATGAACCATTTGAATTGGTTCGTTCACTTCCCTTTAGGTTCGCTTGCAAGCCGTGAATGTGACAAAACTTGAGCTGTAAGTGAGTTTCACAATCTTTGACGATCAATGCTCATAGTTCCCAATAAACCCAATTTGATTTGTTAATCTTCATTATGTAGTGATCCTGCCACAGTAAGGCAAGCCAAACTGAAAATCCTCAACACATGTGAAAACTATGTGAGCATATACGCTTTTGTTATCTATCACTATGAGTTTCTTTACGCTGAATTGAAAAAATCCTTTACTGACTTTTTCCCCTTGATATGGGATTTCGTTGTGAAATAGCCTGGCTTTGTTTGTATCACCAGCAATATCTCTATTGCGATCACTTACAGTGAAGCAGGACTTGATCCAGCAATTCATATAAAAGATAAAACTGAGAATTATTAGGCTTTGATATATTTTTCCAGCTGATCAAGAGACAAATCTAGTGAAGTGCAAAGAAGGTGTACATAGACAAATTTACTTTGAGTTTTGTTGTGATTTTGGGTATTCTTTTTGTTTGATTACTTTGTTAAAATGTTTCTTATGATTGCTCTTGTATTTTTTGTTCTTGTTGTGCTTTGATATCAGCTTACAAGTTCAACTTTAATTATATGATAGCCATCTTGAAAGTTTTTATGTCCTTTGGAGTTGTTTTATCCAACACATTTTTCCTGATAAGGCTTCTGCAAGACTTCTGCCATGAAGAATTCAGAAGAGATGGTAGCTATATTGTCTATTGATGAAAAATGAGAGAAGATCTGTGCTCCCAGCCTGCAGGCCAGCCATAGGAAATTTTAAATTGTCACAAGGTTGGAATCTATAGAGCTAGGAAAATGAAGTCAAAAGGGGGAGAAATGTCCAAACATAAAACAGCCAAACCTCACTAGACTAAGTATTCCTGCTCCTGGCACATTCATTGGTTTAATTAAACATCAATAACAACTTCCCAATTGAACAACAATTCCCCTGAAAGATGATGTCAGCTATTTGATAGAAGATATTTACGCTTAATCAGTTCTTGGTACTGACGTACTTGGCTACAGGTACTTTGCCAAGAAAAGGAGCTTGAATGTATAGGACTGCTTGCATTTATCAAAGTCTGAATGGTGTGGCATTTTCTGAGTGACATCAATGCTAATGATTATACCCTTATGAGTGGGAAACCATGTAATGCTGCCATACTAATAGACTCCATAACAAGCATATCACAACTACATTAGATGTATACATAAACACATGTCTTTTCATCTCAATCACCGCTCACAACACTAACTCTCTAGGTAATCTACACTGATCTAGATTGATGTTGATGTCCTTTTGCCATTGGAGGTAGGTGATCCTCAATCATCTCTCTTTCACATTTAAATTTCTTCAAATATATATATTGTACCCATTTCTTAGGGAATCTAGATTGATGGCCAGTTGGGATTAGTTGGATAACAAAACTGCACAGTTTGGGTCTGGAATCAGTCCAAGATCAAAATTGTGAATCTCAGGTCCCTCTGCCCATAGAATTGGTCAAAAGTTACTGTCTTAGTGAGGACAATTAAAGTCCTTTCCATTTTTTTGTTCAGAAACCTATTCTGAACCCCACATAAATCTTGTGATACACCACCCCAGTTTTTCAGACTTCCAACAATGTTGGACTGGTTAGGTTTTTTTCCAACCTGTAATTACATGCCATGCCGTACCATGGCTACATTATGGGTCAGGGCTGTTTTTCCATTTCAACTTAGAGCTGCATTGCCATCACATTTCACTTTTTTGTGAAACTACACTATCATTCCTGTGACAGATTTCAAATAAATATTGGTATGTTACAGCTGATTTCAGCCAAATCTCCTGATATTGGAATATCATCTATCATTCCTCATTGATGACCACCAATTGGGTCAGCTTAATATTACACATCTGATCTCATGGATCCTGATGATGTGAACCAGCAGTTGCAACATCATCACACCAGCCCAACATTCAACCACAACAGACGGCAATGGAGTCCATAATCTTCACCCCAAGCTCTCACATCAGTATACATACACTTTTATATATGGTCCTTTCTCCAATTGATTGATGATATCATCTTTTGATTGATTGATCCAATTAATTTGTATTCTTTTATCCAATTTCTCAGCTATCACCTCTAAAATCTGCCAGGTATTATCTCTCTGTTTTAGCCTTCCTCAAAATCAGTAGACCTTCTGGATATGAAACCAATGAATCCCAAGTCCCACCCCGTTAAACTTCTCATGTCACAACCCCTGTCCAATTAATTCATGGATTGATTCAACCATCCCAGGACGGCCAATGTGGTCTGACTATCTTACCTTTATTGCCCAACACTTTGTCAATTCCTCCTTCTTTAATTGCTCCTTTGTCTATTGCTCCTTCATCAAAATCACCTTCCTGTAAATGTGCACAATCAACCCCAAGATCCAAGAATGAGTTTCAGATTGTTGGGGGACGCATTGTCCCAAACAAGGCTTCAAAGTCCAAGAAGACTGCAGCCAGAAGACAAACACGTTTGACCACCAAAGGAAAAAATGTACGTATTTGACATTTTCAATTGCATGATATGTTGCTCACAGTGTTGATTAATATTCTGTCTTCTTGAAGTCTGCTTCTTCTACTTCTACTCTTACTACTGTGGAGGCACAAAGTTTCAAAAAAACCATGGCAAGTGACCCATCATGGAACTTTTGATCACAATCACTGACTTTGTCTTTCATTATGTGGTTTAGAAATCTGGAACCACTGTGTCACAATTTTCAAAGCCAGCCCCTTGCATGCATCTTCCACAAGATTCTGACAATGACAACAAGCAGATTTGGAAATGAGCCAAGGCTTCTGAAGCTGAGAAGGCGGAGGAGCAGGAGGAGGAGTATGACAATATCTTGCTATACCTTAAAGAACCAACTCATGGCACGGACAATGTAAGTGTTATCTTTGTTTCTGGTTCATTACTTTTTGTTTCCTTTTCCCTCCAATTTCACTCAGACTCATTTTTCTTTTACTTTGGGATTTGAATGAACCACCGATCCAGTTCAAATGCCAATATTGTCACAAGAAATGTTGAGGACATGAAAAAAAAATTCAGACCTCAAGACTCATTGAGATGGGTCACATCAACCTGGCAGATCAAAGGTAGATTCTCCACAACATCAGGAAGCCATCACTTGTGAATGCAAACTTCCTCCGAGTGTAGCCAAGTTGCACACCAAAAAGATAGCAGATGGACATAAATTTGCAACCATGAACAAATTAAGTTGTTCAATTGTATCAAGACCCAATGCAGCTCCAACACACCTTGCCATGGTCTGAAATAGAGGATCCACTGCTCTGAACAGCCTTTTACTATGTTAAGCCTGATGCCTGACTTTTTCACCGTAAGTGGTCAGCTAACCAGGCAAAACACCTCCACCTTCACCTGTGAGATACTTTTTACAATGAGCTGCAAGTAAGTTAATCTGTCTTATATCAATATTCTCTCATTTCATTATTGATTTTGCTGACTTTATTTGGTATGTTTCAGTCAATTCCAGGAAAAATCATGTTGACCCACAACATTTGGACCTTCATTGGTGACTTGTGGGCCTTCATTGGTGGTGTTGTTAGTTATATTGGTGACAACTGTAACTATGTATCTTGTCATCTCAACCATAAACAAGTGGCTCATCACCATAAGGGTGCTTGGCTTGCAGAGCCGCTGGTCAGTGTACTCAAGAAACAAGATATATATAAAAAGATAAGCACTTTTCTTTTCTTTGTGTTATATATAATAACCATTTTGCAAAGGAGGGTTCTGGCATCAATCATATTGGGCCTTTACATGTGAGCTCATACCACTGACTTAAAGCAATTCACAACAGCATTCAATTGAAAGTGATATTGCTTAATACCTTGGAAATAACCTCAAAATACATGACACTCATGTGTTGAACTTTTGACAAAAAGATCAAGTAGCTATCTATCCTGGATTGGCCAACATGGCAATAAAGTTTCTAGGAATCCAGTACACTAAAGTATAGTGGGTAGTGCCTAAAAGTGTGAAATCAGGTATTTGGAGCAAAAATCCTATCATTGCCACAAATTTGATCCAAATCAGTCCAAGGACAGATTTGGAATCATCACATTGGATCCATCAGAAACTGTTGTCTGCAAGTTATTTTAAAGGTTTTAAATTCTTCATCATTTTTACAACACAGTAGATTCATATCATTGAATTTGATTTTTGACAACAAAAAATAAGCAATGAAGCTCCTAGTGCTTTGCGACCTTCTCCATTGGCAAGGACAAAAATTACAGCAATGAGTCAATATTTGATAAAAATACAAGGACAAAGGAAAACAAGTTATCAATTGAAGTCAAAATTGGTTGCATTTTTGATAAACAGATTCAAATAATAAATTTACTAGTGCTTTGCGACTTTCACCATCATTGGGGACAAAAAGTACAGCAACCAGTAGACATTTGATAAGAATATAAGGAAAAGGAAAAAAAAACATTATCAATTGAAGTCAGCATCAGTTGCAGAGTTTTGAGGAACGGTTTGATGCAATTGGTATAGCTGGACATTTGGGGGGTTACAACAAGTTTTGACTTTCTCCCTACAAGCCATCAAATACATCAAACAATTCATGAATGGAGAAAAATGCATGAATGAGATTGAGCAAAAGGTTGATGTACAAGATATTGGCATTATCTTGTGGGTCTTGCAGTGAAACTGTTGGATGTTGCCTCTTTGTCCCAAACAATTTTGTTGTACATAGTAATCCTGTCAGTAATGGATATGAAAGAGAACAAAGCAATGAAGATGAAAAAATCACATGGTTTGATGTAGCACCAAAGAAAGTCAATTGAGTTGAATTTGTGATTGAATTTGAAGTTTGACAAAGGAACTGATCCAACCAAATGATGTGATCTCAATCCTACATGTATGGGGAAATTTAAACATATGTAATTTGTTTTACCCGGATCAGCATTTCACAATTTTAGACACTACCCACTATAGATAAGGTCTACTGAGTGCTACCTCCCAACCTGCTAAACATTTTTTTGATTTTGAGCTCAAAAACCACCACCACCATCACAATCTCTCATGTTAATGACTCAACAGGTAGAATCATGAGAACAAGGTTAATCAATCCATATGTCCCTGGGATCATCTGAGGATTGTTTTATTTTTTTTCACCAGTAGGTCAAAATTTGGGCCTGGCTTTAGGCTAGGTACTTAAGCCACCTAAGGTACAAACTAAGCTACTCATTGGTACCGTGTGTGCCCCTGTGGTGCAGCGGGTAGCCTGAGTGACTACAGGGTTTTCCCAATTGTGGATAGCTATGTTTGATTCCAACAGTGAACCTTAGAAATTTTGCACCTGATGTGTCTGATCTGGTATCCTGTTGGA